ACTAGGAACAAGTGCATCGCTAGTAGTAACAAGTGCCTTACTAGTAGCAACAAGAAGCGAACGTAGAAACATCAAGAAAAATGATCAAACCTGTCCGGTGCAGAGTCACATTCAAACCACGATTGTGACAGCATCCAACGAAGCAAATCCTCGCACACCAAGACAGCCGCCGGCCATGTCTCTTCGCTCGGCCCATCCTGTGCATATTCAAGTGGCTCGGGATGTGCCAGTCCCGTCTCCGATTACTCATGGAGTACGAAGTCCCTTCGTTTCCACTTACTGTTTGCAGTCCAAATCATGATAATCCTTGATATTGGTCTTAATATCAATATCATCGTCGTGATTCTCGCCATCCTTCTCCCAGCTCTACTCAGAGCCTTGGCCGGTGGATATGGTGCAGGCAATGCCGCCTGGCGTTTGAAGCGCCTCATGCGCCTCATGGGATTAGATACGGCCCGATCTTGGTGACCTTGCTCTTTGAACCATTTTGAACCTCTTGGACTGGGAGCGAGTCTAAGTTCAGGAAGACTCACTACGTCGTGACATGTCTATTCACCTCTTCATCGCTGGCTGGGTCCAATGGTTTTGTTGAAAACCTGGATCCAATGATCCTGTGTCACTTGTCAAGACATGTCCGGATGCCTGGATCACTTGTTGTGGAGATGCAAGGAGCAAGTGCACCTGTGCTGAACTGTTTCCCTGATGCATCATTTCAGCCAATGTGCAGGTGGAATCTACGAGCAGTTCACACCAAAACATGTTTGCAAAACCAATTGCCTCAGCCGGAAGCTCGGAATGCGCCAACAAAGATTGCATTACCTGGCAATAACAATATCCAGGAATGCAATACCTGATGATATCCAATCCAGTCAATGGTAGCTTTATCAGTAGTCTCATGCCTTTAATGCATTTTACTACTACAATCCCTAATGAACAGCATACACTGCCGCCTCTTTCTCAGCTTTGCTGCTGACACCTCAGATCGCGCAAACAATATGAAACAAGGATCTCGACAATATGCCTCAATCAAGTGACCCACCCAACCAGCGCGGAGTTTCCGGCGACCGTCCTTCTACCAACCGAGTCAGGACTCTAACTCTAACAACTGCAGAACAAGTGCATCCTGTGAGGTGAACTTAATCTAAGTAAAGGCTCTAGACTCTAATCTCCACATCTTTCGTGACAATTGCTCATGTATGTGTGTGTGTGGCTTAGAACAACTCCCGTCCATTCCCATGCATGTTGTTAGCTGTGGAGTGCTTGTTCTTGACAGATTTGCACCACAGGTAACAATGAACCCTGGCGAAAAATAACAACGGACCTGAACAATCCATCCAACTTCCCAACACAGGTGTTCCTCACCTGCAACAATTCCACTGGCTCTGGTGTGAATGACAGGTGACAGCAGCGCCACGGGCAGCGACTGAGAGGTTTGGATGAGTAGCGTAGCGCCGATGTCGGGGGAGACTTTACGCTAACAACTCAAACATGTACAAAATCAATCAAAACATATCAAAACCAATTCTTTGTTTCATGTGGTTTCCCATTTCCAATAAACAACTAACAACCGAAGACATGTTGACATATTTTGACCAAACCAATCACAGAATGCCAAGCAAGGGCATTCAGCAAACTTCAGCTTTACAGACGTGCACTTTGAATGTCTCAAAAATGAGGCATCTGTTGTGTTTTTGTTAGATCTCTCCCAATTATCACACCCATAATATGGGGATGCGGGATATGGTCTTTCTTGCGCCTCTGAAATGTCCACAACTTGCACTGGAAGCTGCTCCGGCAAACCTCGGAAAGCCGGCTCGGGAGATCGGCGAGATCGGCGAGAGGGTTCGCTGTTCGAATCCATCCGAGGTGCTGTGAAAGGCATGTTCCAAAGCACTCTGGACCACCTGGACTTGACAAAAAGGCCAAAGGCTGACACAAGGAAGTTCACATCCCATATCTAATCTAGCATTGGGCGCAAACTGGGTCTAGCGTATTCATCACAGATGCAGGAAAGAATGAAAAGAACGAATTCATTGATGAATGGACTGATCATCTTCAGGGCTGTGTCATGATGCCTTAGTCATGGTTTGTCAAGGTCAATGAGGTCACCTCATGTCACATCCCCACAGAGGCACCTTACAACACCGTAGCAGTTTTCTGGTGCGGCAGGGTTGCCTATGTTGCCATGTTCTTTCCAGCACTCCCAAGCAGAGTTGCAAGGCCCATACTTGGACATGCAAATGTTATCAAATGTTCATGTCTTCCGATTGCACCCGTTGTCCGATCGCGGTGTGGAGCCGACATCGCTCGTTTGGCTTTCTTCACCGCGAGAGGTGCAACTTGCGTCCTTGGGCCATGTGTCCAAAGTCTGTGATGTTTCTGTTTTTTCTCGAAGATCTTTATGCAGTGCCTGCAGTGCTGCATCACACGTTGGTCAAAGTCTTGATGCCCCAAGTGGGTGTTCCCACTGCTTTCTACCATGTCCACACGGTGCCAGTGAGCATCAAACCAGTGTTGCGTCTGCCAAACCCCAAAGGGATGCCCATGACAAAGTATCTGGACCTCCTCGACCCTGACATCTTCGCAACGGTAAAGCAGTTGGTCATCTCGTGCGTCACCGTCTTAGTGAGTCAATGCCGTGGCACTCCAGTTTGGGCGCTCGTGGATGTGCGGATGCGCCAAGAGTGGATGAGTCACCAAGATGTCTCACTTGATCCAGCTCCATCACCAGCTTGCCCAAATCCATCGGTGGCACCCTGCCTTGGTACTGGTCTACGTACTGCATGGGCCCCGTTGTTCTTCAACCTCCCCTCTTCCACCCACGTGGTATGCCGGTGGTACGTGGTCAAACCACCTGGTTGCTCCTGCCAGCCGATGGTCGCGTGGTGTGGGCCATCTTGTGAGCTCAAAAGGTCCCGCAGTCAAGTCAAGTCTATTTCAGATACTCTGACGATGCCTTCGGCGGGGTAACGCTGTTGGGGTAAACGCGGGGTTTACACTCACTCACATCACCTTTCCTCCGAACATGAAAGTGGTGAAAACATTGGTCATCAAATCCTGCACCAGATTGGTTTACAGTCTGGTGCAGTCTTCGAGGACCGTTATTTTCAACTGTGAGTGAGTGTATACCTGCTCTCCCAACCGCGGTAGCTCTTCGAAGGCACCGACAAGATGGTTGACCTTACAGTACTGTTCGGCTGTCTCGCATGCAGCGTCAATCGGCCATAGCAAGGGTTGCGTCGTTCTCAATGCCTGATTCTGCCAAATAACGCAAATAGTGTATGATATCGTTTGCTATTAGGTTGGAGGCCGCCGCTAGTAGGTTGGAGACCATGGCTACTAGAAACAATGAACATGAAAAGGAAGAAAGGTCTAGCGGGCTCATGGATGCACCGGCGTTGTCGCAGCAGGGGAGCTCAGGTCCATCGCTGAAGCTCAAAACGCGCTGTGGACAAGACCTGTTCCGCAATACTCTTTAAATTGCGGCGTTAGTCCCGTCCCCATGTCCTGGAAAGCCAAATTATGTGTATATCTACAGGGGGTACCTTATAACTTATGTATACTATACCTTGAGAAGCAAAAACCTACAGAAGTGTAGGTTCTGAAGAAGGACCTCGTTTTGATAAAAGCTTGTTTTCTTCAGGTATATTTTTTTATACAACTGGAACCGCAAGGATCCCCAACTGTTCCGCAGTGAACGCGCATCTCTGCCTTCCAGTGCTCCGTGTCGTTGAAGCGGAGTAACTCTTCCTCTTCCAGCCTTTTTGCATTGCGCACACACAACCAAAACAAAACAGGTCGCCTAAGCCTTCAAACAAAAGGTGAGTCCCACTAACAAGGCCAACGACATGCTTGACAAAGAACATCCAAACTGACGCAGCGTCGATATCTAAAGCCGTTCGAAAACCCATTTGGCAATGGTGAAGGTGATGTGATGGTGATGTTTTCAACAACATCGATCCAAGCAGAATCGATTCATCGCGTCACTCCGCATCGCTCATCCCGAGTCTTGGGTGGCCGACTCCACGTCCGGCCAGGTGGGCTCTGGTGCCTGCCGACCCCGACCAGCGTGGACCGGCAGGCCGGTGGAGCGGTCGTTATCGTTGACCAATCCCCATGGAGCATCAGTTGATTATGGTGATCGGTCGCGGTGATTACAGTATTATTGACGTGTATTTGACATGTATTGACGACATTGACCCACTGTCACAGATCTACCAAGTGGCTTTAAGATCTTAAGTAATCTTAAGACATCTTAAGCATCAAGGACAACTTCGGTCCACTCTTTTCTCCAGAGAAAATCGATGAACGGCCTTTTGCCATCGGAAAATGTACAAAGCATATACAATCTTTGAGGGTCACACCAAGGTCTGCGACATGGAAAGCTTCTTGAAGAGCTTGATGCTCTTACAATCCGACGGCTTCTTGTAAGCGGCATCTTCCACGTCCTACAAAATCTACCAGTCTCAAACTGCATGGACGTTTGACAAAGATTGAAGGTGCGACGCAAAGGGCACATCCCCGAGCCTGCACAGTGTAGGTACCCTGGCGCAGGACACCTGTTCGAACTGCTCTTCCCAAACGTAGACGGTAAACTTGAGAAGCGGGAACGAAAGTGAGAGAATACATTGCTCATTCCAACACCATCCGCAAGAGAACTTGAAAGAGGAGGGGGTGAACGAAAGGTAGCAGGGAATTAGACGTAACCCTGGAGGAGGTCAGGGCCCCCCTGTTGAACAGAAGCCCTTGCTAAAGGATCAAAGTTAAGGCAAAGCACCAAGTACTGAGTGTGAGAGAATATTGCGAAAGTTACTTGGCGTGATGATAGAAAAACTAATGCACAAACGTCTGTATAGCTCAAAACCATCCCAATTTACATGCTTTGTGCCCGGAAGGCGCACAAGCCCGTGTAAGTACCGTCGCTTTGTGCCACTTTGAAGCCTCCAAGCGCCGAAAAAGCCACTAAAATCCTGCAAATAGCGTGGTTTGAGGTCACTCTTGAAGATAGGAGGAGCTCAAAACACTGGTATTTACGGTGTTTTGTGGCCACTTTGAAGCGTACACAGCCTAAAACCATCGCAATTTACAGGGGTTTGTGCCGGGAAGGCACACAAACCCATGTAAATACCGTCGCTTTGTGCCATTTAGAAGCCTCCAAACGCCGAAAAAAGCCTTTCCGACAAAATCGTTCCAGGTTTTGGGTAATTGTTCGACCTTTTTTGAAGCCTAGACACTTCAAAAACCATCGGTTTTTACGAGGTTATTTATTGGCCGGACAGCCACAGAAAACACTGTAAATTGCGTGGTTTGAGGCTACTCTTGCAGACTGGAGGAGCTCAAAACACTGCTATTTACGGTGTTTTGTAGCTGTTGACAAAGACCCGCGCCAGGGTGGAGTTGAAAGGGGCGGGGGGGCCCCCTCGGCCGTGACTCAGTGAGATAGGCCTCCACTCTGGTTATATATAATTCATTTTTGCTAAATAAAGCAAAAAGGAAAACTCAGGTAGCATAACTGCTACCTTTCGTGATTATATACATAGAATTACTATCAATGGAGGCGATGGTGTACTCTCTCATGCTTCAGCCCTAGTGTCACCGAGAAAACTTGTGTGGAAATGCTCGAACCCTAATCTGAAACAACCTTTCCGTCACTAAGATACGTAATTCCAACCTCAACTGATGCTTGCGATGCATGAGTCCCAAAAATGGGGAATCAAGGGCCCCACCAAATCGGTATCGATTTCTGAAGGGAGAGGGGGCCCAGTTGATTCTATCACGCAAAGTGAGGGAACGTCCTTTGTAACACATTCCAATTCGGATCGATTCGTCCTTTGGAACTATATATCAATTCTGAGTGAACGAAGACTTCAGCAGACCTCCCTGCGAGCTCGCTCTCGTGACATCCATAAACATCCATAAACCCAGGCTTGTTGAGGTCTGTCCCATGTCCCACTCACATTTGATGAAAGATGCTGAGTTGGGCTCAATCTCGCTCGGTTCTTCGTACGTGCGCAGCCACCCCCGAGCCTTTAATGCTATCCACGACCTTCCACTGGGCAGTGCTGTTGAAGAGTTGTGCGGGGAAGGACGGGAAAGCACCCACCCAGCAGAGTGTGCACTCGCCCTCCTGCCAGTCAGTCAGTGAAAGGCACTCCAAACTCACTCAAAAGGACACCCATGGCCCCACCTGTCCTCAAAGCCGCAAACATTGCCTAGCTCTCGCACCAGAGCCAAACTACTGAGGCCATCAAAGCGAACATGTGCACAAAGCGCGTCAAAGACCAAGACTGAGTGCAGCATGATGAACTCCTCCTTGGAGACCCAAATCGTTTTCAGCGACTCGGTCGTTTTCGAGAGCATCCGAGGCGCTTCAGGTTTCTTTCCAGTCGCTGCGAGGGGATGAGTCCATGGATGATATGTTTTTGGCACGAGAAAAGAGACATCGTGGACATATGTGGACATCAAATGTGTCTCCTCCTTTCCACTGACTTGGTCATAGGTCAAAGGTAGCAGCATCCGATGTGGAAGATTCCAGAGCCAAAAATATGCCATTAAGAGGTGGAAGCCCAGCCTCAGTTCGCGCAGTTGAAGTTGTGAAGTTTCAACAGCTGGTGATGCTCCAGCTGAACCTCTCTCCTCTGGGCTGTGTGCCATTCCGTTTTGCAGAACTAGGCAAAAAGTCGACAGTGTTCAAGGGGATGTGCTTCAAAAAGCAGATAGAGGAACATCGACACGCCGCCCCTGGGTGTGGTCTCGCAAGGTGACCCTCCCTCAACGACCACTCCAGGTCTCCTCGAGGGGCCCGCCGGCTTGGTAGTTGAACCTCTAGGCTCTACAAGTCCAGTAGCAGACCCCAACCCCCCCAGATGGGGGGTGATCGCGCCAGCCAATGGTTGAAGCATGTTCACTGGTTCACACTAAACCACAGTCCAAGGCTCCAATCTCCAATCCAACCGGGAGCCGGTGCTCCCTTCACCACAGGGCAGCCACTGTGCGCCACGACCTCCCCGAATGCGTCAATGTGCATCATGCGGCTCAAGAGGTTTCCACTCTCAGTTGGGAGAATCATACAAGGATACAAGTACTATAGAGGATACAAGTACTATAGTACCAGTACGGTGCATACACCGAGGCTCACCTTCCATCACCTTCCCTGCTCCCCTTCAAAAAGTGTTTTAACATGCTTTAAACACATTGCGCTCGCGATGTTCGCGCAATGTGTAAGCAGAAGAAACCCCGGCGAGGCCGCCTTGCCCAGCTTGGCGGCGGCGGAGACCTTCACCAACAAGGTGCCCATGGCAAAGTTCCCCGCGGCGTGCCGGTGCGCCACCACGTAGGGCACCTCGACGAGCGGGCCCCCGAGCCACCGAGGCGGAGGCCGCCGGGTCGTGGTCGTAGCAGTGAAGTTGATCAGTGACGGTCAAACGACACCAGGGTGAAATCGTGACTGCACCCGCACCAGGACTATGATCCCAATAAATAATTACGTCAAAATCTATGTAGGTTGATACACAAACAGAGTCAGAGTCCTGATTGTGGCTGGGCTCGCCTCTACGGCGCTACGGAGTTTGGCTAAGAAGGATGCAAGAAGCATCCACTTCGACCCTCTTCCACCCCTTTTTTCCCGCGGATGTTGAGCGCTGATTCCACTTCGAGTTGATCAAACCATTCTGGTATTGGTTTGGTTCCAATTGGCTGGGATTGCATCAGAAGACATGAAAAAGAACACTGCCCTCCTGGCCCTCCTTCTCCCTTTTGAGGTCAAAGAGTCAAGCTCAGGAAGCGTGTTTCTTCGTCCACGCGCGAAAATCCAAACAACCTCCAATCACCCGAGGTCACCTGGTTTGGGAAGAAGTTCCCATAAATGCTATAGATCGCATGAGCCAGCAAGAATGCCATCAAGACTGGATGCATGGAGCTGATGTCTCGCCACTGGAAGCCCATCGTTCGACCTGGCGACCCCCCCCAACGGAACGACCACGAAAGCGGCGGCGGCTCAAGCGAGACGCGCGACATGTGATGACAAAGGGCGGGCCTACTGAAGGGCCATAGAGGCCGAAAAGAAAGCAATACATCATGGCATCCACAAAGTTCCAAGTAAAAACCTGAGAGCAAAGGCAGCTTTGCAAATGACTGGTGGGTGACCATGAACATTTTTCTGTCACTCCTGCTCCTTCTGTGCACACCACTCAAATGAAGGTCCCGACATCCACGATCAGTGTGGAGATGATGTAGAGGTGCATGCAACAAATGAAGATGATTCCACAAGAGACCACCGTCGGATCGTTGGAGAGCACCAAAATGGGCCCAAGCGTTTCACATAGAGCGCAAAACGCTGAGAAGGCAGACGCTGTCCTGGTGAGGCTGTAGTCAGCCTCCGGATCTTTGTATCCTGCAAGTCAGCGTTCCCACTTGGTTCTGAGTTCTGAGGCTCTGATTTGGACCCTCAAATGAACGGCAAATAATGCACCATCAGAAGGCAATTGCTGGATGGAAACCGACGGGGGGTGGTTGAATCGCTGCACAGAGTCCCTGTCCTTTGTACATAGTCCTTCGAAACCAGTCTGACCATGGCATGCTGACCATGTACTTTGCAGACCATAGATTGCTGACATTCAAGTACTTGAACCAAGGACCAATTTTACACCTGAGCTAAAGAAAACATAAGAAAACCACGAAAGGCAAGTGTCTACGTTGTCTACGTGCGCTGTCTGACCCTCGCAACAAACCATCCCACTGCACTGAGTCTTTCACCACCCAGAGCAAACATAGAACCTTGGCTGAAAGACATCTTTGCTCTTATGCTTCCCACAAGGGGCCCCTGAAACTTCTATTTTGTGTGCCCACATACGCAAGCGCATTCCCGCTGAGTTGTGCACCATGTCATAAAAAGCTGCAAGCCAACCACCTGGCCTTGCTGTACAGGAAAGCACATGCAAAAGAAGCAGTACATCGTCTGTGTGCCGTAGGTGTGCATGTGCTGGCCGTAGTCGAAAAGAAACTCATATATCCTGGCGACGCACGTTCTCAACTTCTTACAGTTGAATCATGATGCTCAAGTTCACCCACTAAGCGCCTGACAAGCAAGCCGTTAAGGGTTGCATCAATGCAGGTGTCACTTCCGGTGACAAGAGCACCCGGATCGTGAGCACATACACCAGGAAGCCTTCCACGAAGACATCCAAGTAGTTCCGCTTCATGGGTAGGCATGGCATGAAGGGCGCATTGTACTTCATTGAGCCCACTGTAAATCGATACCACCAGTCTTGGAAAGGTGGATTCACTTTCGCATGCATTGGGCCACTGATGACCCCCAAGCCCAAGGCCTCCCACATATTCCAGAAGACCAGCAGCTTCTGAAAGAGTGTCAACCATGGGACGGACGCCCCATTCATGGGGGTCGTAAGCACTACTGTGGCAAAGTAACAAATCAAGAAGACCAAAACCATTGACCAATGCCATGCCATAACTGCATAATTGATTCCAAGACCAGTGTTCGCATCCAAAATGTGTGCGACACCCACATCGGTCTTCGCTGGCAGGTCCTTCCCTTGGACCTTCGCCTCATCTGGAGGGAAACGCGCCCCCAAAGTCACGGCGAAGATGGAAGAAATGTCAAAGGAAGTGCCACAGCTTCTCCACCACATCTCGAGCACACCTCAAGCAGTGCTAAGCAGTGCTAAGCAGCAAAAAGATCTGTTGGAAAACAAAAAAAGTCTCAAGTGTCGACATCCAGATCCAAAGCGATCCATTCCAAGCATGTACCCTTCCAAGATGGAGAGTAGAGGGGGGGGTACCTTCTGGTCATTTTGCTAAGGCATGGTACATCAAAAGGCTCATTGGCTCATTGGTGATTGGGCAAGGCGATGTTCCGATGTTGCACAAGACTGAGGAAGCCACGAGACACAACGTCCCGCTGCAAAGTCGAAGAGCGCTCGAGGCATCCGTTCACAGCGCGACCGTCTACGATCGCCCGTTGAGCCAAACATCGCCCGTTCACACATGAGCGGTGTCAAAAACCGGTCTACGATCTGTTACACTCATGACTTGCTTCCGCCAATGCTTGCGCGGAGCTTCCGCGACCTGCGTTTGGGCTGCGGGCCATGTTTGGTTGAAATCCTCTTCCGCGGCGCTTCCAAGAATATTTCTCAAGTAGTGCTCATAGGTTAGACAAATCTCCTCATCTCCTTCAAGTATAGAGACATTTGATTTGTTATTGTCAAGAAGATTCAAGAAGATAACATGTGCACTTCCGCAAAGCTTCAGCGACGATGGTGAATAAATATATTAAATTATATTAATATACTTATGCGGTGGCTTCCGCAAGCTTCCACGACTGCAGTTTTGGCTTCCGCGGGCAAGTTGGAGTTTACAAGTTTTCTTAAACTGTTCGTGGGAGGTTTTTGACGCTGCTCACGTGGCTGCCAGGGTCAAAAAAACCGGTCGCTGAGCTCGATCGGACGGGCGCGGAGTCGCTACAGTGCCCCACCCCTTGCCCTCGCGGTGAGCGCTCGTATGAAGAGCAGGAATGAATACGGCAGGTGTACACAAGTGCAAATGTCAGACGTGAATTCACACAGCGCATCTACCCATAAGCTTGAAACACAAAACGCACATCAAATTCAGGAAGACTCGAACATGCTTAGTTGCCAAAGGTCTTAATCTAAGGTGGAATAGCAATAGATGTACAGGAATAGGATGTAAATGTACTCTAAATGTTACGATTTGCTCGCAATAGATGCAAGCTCTTCTTCGTCTTCTTCTTCTTCTTCTCATGAAAAAGAACAAACACATGTTGAACGAGCGGAAGTTCTGGATGTTCTGGCAAGGTCGGAGCTTCCAAAATAGCTGCGAGCTCCGGCTAATTCTTAACGTTTTTTTGGTGGGTTACTATCAAAGCTCTTCAATGTTTTGATGGACAATATCCATCATCTTACCAGCCACTGCGAAGACCAGCAGGATACGCCAGAGTTACGTTGGTGAATGCCAACCGCGCCCCAACAAGAAAAAGCTGATAAGCTTATAAATATAAAGCCTTACATCATGTAGGCCTAGAAAACTCACCCCACTTCTCGTCTGCAAGAGCATTGAGACACGCAAACAAGCTTTGAACAAAAACAAGAAAGAACTAAGGTGGATGGCCCTGGTACACCGATGTTTGTTCATCAACAACGGTTTACTAGATTTTACACTAAATTTAGGATATCTCGAGTTCTCCACAAAGCCAGCCGCCTCAAGACTGCTTGCGTGGCCCTCTGCGTCCTGCAGTTTGCAAGAGTCGATCAAACCCCATTTGCAGCTGAAATGGGCCACGATGGTAGTTTAGCATGCAAAGACACAAAACGCCAGTCAACACACTTGATTCAGGTAAAGTAATTTAGGTGGTCTTCATGTATAAAGGCACAAAAAGATCTGGGAACATCCTAATGTTTCGCCTCTCTATGTGAATGTGCACAACGGCGAAACCACTGAGACCCTCCAAAACCGACACCTCCACCGGTCGTCACACGGTCGTCACGACACTGCGCTCGTCGGATCCTGCAGCAGGACCTCAAGACCATCCGCCTCGTCTCGGGAGGACGTCTCTTTCGCTGGCGGAGGTCGTCTCAACTTCGAAGAGCACGTCTCGCTACAGTAGGAGGTTGCGAAGTGTTTCGCATCAACCCCTAACCCCCCAAAGCAACTGCCATTCTGTCACGCCCTCAATGGTTGCTGCATGATGCTGCTACCTCCTCCGGTCTAAGTTTACTAAGAGTTCAAGACGGGAGACAGGGCGCTACCTCCGCAGGGCCAAGCGCCCAAAACGACACAGGGTCGCCTGCACACGCAGGTGCAAGTGGACTTGATCACCCTCGTGTAGGTGCAGCGCTTGGTCGATGGAGAAGGTCAAGGGTTTCACCTCAGTCGCCACGTCATCTGCGAACGCGCCGTCGGAGAGGTGGTGCACGGTGGTGGAAGAAAGGAATTGAGAGACAACCGGATAGTCTCATGATGAGCTTGTAAGAGCTTCTATTGTTCTGATCTTGCCATTCTTTTTTCCGTAGTGAAGGATTGATGAGTCACCGGGCTATATCATTGCAAGTGCCACTACTCAGATTACAGTCTTTTGGGAGAAGCTGAAGTGACCAAGCAAAGGAGAGCCTCTAGTATAGCTGATTACTTTCTGCGTAGAACATAGAAACACCGGAGGAGAGAAGCTGAAGCTGAGTTTCTATGTTTCTCACATCTCGGGTAACACGAGTGACACTGTTCTCGTGCGCAGGGTGTCGCCGGAGGAAAATCGGAGTGACATTCTCGTCCGATTTGTGGACTTTGGGATAGGATGGATAGGATGTCCAACACATTCGCCCATCCCATTGGACGACTTGGGCTCAACTAGGAATTTACGCTAAGAACTCCGACTCACTCACATGCGAAAGTTAAGAAAAAACCACCCCGTGTTTCTAGAGGAACACCGTCTTCCCAAAGGCCATGCTCTTCCCACCGGTCTCACCGCTGGTCTCCGTGGTGGTCTCCCTGAGCTCCCCGGACCGCTTGTTCCCAGGAGTCGGAGCCACCTGTGGACTTGGCGTCCGGGTTTGGGCGATGTCTGGACCTGGATGGACAAAGGACTCATTGGACAAGACTCGTTTCGGTGGGCAAAGGACTCATTGGTACCCTTGCAAGAATCGAAAAAAATTCAGAGTCCAGTCCATCGTCTCCTTGTTTCATGGGAATCGAAGCAAGGCAACTCTGTGGGCTGAATACGGTTCCGTCTTCGTGGGCAGGGTGACCGGGTGGAGGGCGGACACCGGAAGCAGCCCAAGCAGCCACGTTCCGTCCGATCGGCTCGTTCCGGGCCACGGACTCCATGGACAAGTCGGTCGGTGGATTCGGGTGTAGCGCTCCAAAGGAAGGAAGGAAGGAAGGAAGGTCAGTTGACAGGAATAGACTATCTTGGTTGACCCACCAAATGGACCGAATTGTTTCATGATTCATAAGTATTCTACCAGGGAATACCCATGGACTTGGTTTTGGGATCCAGGTTTTGACCCACATTCATTTTTGACTCTGGCGATCAGCATATTCCACTACGGGTGTTGCCGCTTTTGCACAGGAGATCTACACGCAGGTGCCCACTTGACCAGTGGCATTTTGCCCTGAAGGTCCTCCACTTTTGCGCGACATTTTTGGCACCAGCTCAAAGGTTTCTTCCGGCTTCCAAGCTAGCAAGTCCTAAGAAGCCTGGCCTGTGGGTGATGTGTGGATTCGGCATTCACCCGCAGCATCCAAGTCAAGTTCCTCGTGCCACTGAAAAATGGAACTCTAATTAGAACTCTAGGTATTGTATCCAAGTGTCGGCCTGCAAAATATGCCTGCTTGCATCTTTCACAATCGTAAGTCAAGCATTACAAACAGCGAAATAATCCAAACCTCCTATGTAAGTCTGCCTCTATGCGCTTCACAGTGCATGACCCATCTCTCCTAGCTGCTGCCCAACAAACTACAGTAAAGTTCTTTGATTCTTTACTCAATTCTTTGCCAATGAATGTCTGCGAAAGCCTTGAGGCAAAGCCTCCAACTTCTCAACACCGCACGTCCGCACACCGAAATCCACGAGGGGAGCACCCACCAATAGACCAGCGCGTGAGCTGCTCCAGCCTGCCGCAGTGGCACGGCGCGCCCTCGACGGTCGACCGTCGACCCTGTCGCGGCGGACCTTCGTCACGTGGAGCTCCAAAGGTGGATCGATCCAGGTGCCCAAGTTGCTGTACCTGAAAGCCCCGGAATCGCTGATGAATGCGGTGGTGGTGTTTTTCATGTGTACTGGGGTTGACAAAAATCCATGTAAATCCAGTAAGGTGGGCACATATACTCCGCAGTCTGTCAGCTTGTCGATTGAAACTTTGGCTTATCACCAATGTTCATCACAAAAAAAACACGAGCTTGGGATTGTTCAGGTGCGCCCTGTCGTATGACTTGGAGAAAAAACACTCACATGTGTGGCCCTGTCGTGGCAAATCCAGTCTAAGGATACTCGATGAATAGAAAATGAATAGACCCTTTGCAAGGCTTTTGGTCCCAGAAAACATAAGACTCTCTATAGCATGCGATGTCTAACCTCGGATATGTCTAAGGCATTGACAAGTACTCGATCTCCTGAAAGTCAAGGGAGACCTGAGGAGCTCTGCACAAGTTGGACTTGACGAAAAGGAAAGGAGCGTCAAAGGGTGTGTGAAAAGGAGATATTGAACATGGGCAAAAAAAACAACAGAAGCAGTATTGATGCACATATCATGACAAAATAAGCCAGTCAACTCCAATGATTAGAAGCACACTCAGCTCTGGGGCATCCCCATTGCACCAGCTAAGTCAAGAACCAATTGCACCGGCTCTGTGAGTGCCACATGAGGCACAACCGACATGGTCTCGCAGGTGTACCGCTCACTGCAGGGGCAGAAGAGACACATCATCTGAGTTCAATGTGCCAATTCATGGGCTACCGGCCCTACAGGCTATCCAAAAGGACATGTTTCTGCTCCGGTTTGATGTAAGCAAAACTAAATGAACCATCGACTGCAATATGTACCTGGACAGGCCATCCTCGCCTATTGCGAAGATAGGCTCCTTTGAGCGGCACCTCAATACTGTGCAGTTCATTATAAGAACAATAAATTTTAACAAAAACATGGCTGGAATGTTCGACCCAACATTTCACTACATTCCTCTACCATGGTTGAGCCGCAGGGTGTTCCAAAGTCGTTGAGCACAAACTACATGAAAACAATACTCAACAAACGCAGCCGCCATGCCATGCGATAAGCAGCAGCAGCAGCAGCAGGAGGAGGAGGAGGACTAGTAGTAGTACCAGCAGCAGCAGCAGCAGCAGCAGCAGTAGTAGTAGTAGTAGTAGTAGCCGTAGAACTAGTTAGTAGTAGTAACTAGTAATAGCATCTAGTAGTAACTATATAGTACAGTAGTATCTGGTAGTAGTAACTAGTAGTCATAACTATTAGTAGCTACTTCTACTAGTAGTAGTAGTAGTAGTAGTAGCAGTAGTAAAGTTGTACGTAGTAGTACGTAGCAGTCACTAGTTTGGAATTAGTAGTTAGTAGTTGTTGTGGTCAGTAGTTGTTGCAGTTAGTGGCTGTTGCCCTTAGTAATGGTTGCGGTTAGTAGTGTGAAGCTATAATTAGTTGTAGTAGTAGTAGTAGTAGTAAGAATAATAGTAGTAGCAGTAGCAGAAGACAAATTGTTATATAGTTTTGTTGGTAACTAGCAACATGTTGAACGTGAAGTCTTTAGACATCGGATGCCAAAGAGCTCCAGCGGACTGGGCCACGCGAAAGCGCTCCAGCAGCAGGGGCGCCTCGCGAAAGAGCGGTCTTCTGAATCGAGGTACACTATGGTACACTCCAACCAGTGCATCATCCGCAAAAAACATGTGTCCAATCTTGAAAAACAAACTATGTTTGTCAATATATCTATATACAAAAGCTAGTCATCTGCCCCAAAAGGATCAAACAGGGCGATTCACAGACAGAGTTCTTGGGCTCCAAAAAGCCTCCATTTTCCCCATCGATCCTCGCGCCACGAGCTCCGACCTCCACGAGCTGTCCAAAGATCCTCGCACGCGCAGGGATCAGCAAGCCATCGGCTTTCAAAAGTTCCTAGCGTGGCACGGTGGTGAGCAGCAGTTAGCACGTCAAACACGCACTGTGGCACGGTGCCATGCCGTGGCACAGTGGAGTTTCGCTTTGAGGTGTCTGGTCTCAAAGCCATAAAGGTGTCCATGCACTCTGTGACAAAAATTTTCAAGCTGTCTGCCATCTTCCTTCATATAAAGGGCCTGTAAAGGCAACTTGCAAAAATTTTGAGATCACGCATTACAGACCATTCAGGTCCATTGCGGCATCGAACGAGGGCAAAAGGTCAACACCAGCCGCCCTGGTCACATTCAATCTCTGTAAGATGGCCGAGGATCATATTGCCATGGTCATAACATGGCCTAATGCTTGTGGGTCTCCTCTTTTCAAGCACATGACTGGCACTCCAATATTGTAGTCCTGTTTTCTCCAGCAATATTGTGGTCCTGGTTTTGTCATCCAAATATTGCTGCAGCTGCAGGGCCGGAGGGAAGTCACGACTCAGCGAAAGCCTTGGCTGCAAAAATCATGCATCCACGCCTTGCGAGCATGCAAGATGGTTGGCAGCGCATGCCTCGTTTCGTCAACGGCTGGGCAAAAGCTCCACAGTGGACTGTGGAGCAAGTTTAGCAACCCCTGGCTGTCATGTCAGGCCTGAAAACTTAAGTGAACATCCTCCTGGCCCCCCCCATTCCTGCTGTGCCAGGTATCCATACTCACCCAGAAGGCCAGCATCAAAGACCTCACAGAAAATGAGGTCAAACTTCGGCAGCTTCAAGGCAGTGCTGACCTCAGCCAGAAGGGCCCTAGCTTCGATTCATGAGGTAAGTAGTATGGCGATGTATGGCGTGCTTTTGCGACTGAAATCCTAAAAAGACATCAAGATCAGTCAGTCAGCCTCGCCAGTCTCAGTCACCCTCCCAGCTATCCCAGCTAATCATTCTCCCGTCGTCGCCGAGCTGAGCACTGCCGGATGAAGGGTAACAGGGCAGGAGTGCTTCTGGGAGGCAATGACCTTGCTGAATCAGTGACATGTATATATGTATATATAACTATATATATAATTATACAAATCTATTATAATATATTACAGACTTGTGATCCAGCCGTTTTTCCCAAAAACTGTTGCACGAAGGAACTCCAAGGAGTGCGCCTCCTGTGCGACACTGCAAAGCGCGTCATTCATCTCACAAGCATGTACTTCTCGAACACCCTGCGCGAAGGAACGGAAACAGCTGGATTGCTTCAAAAACGAAAAGAAATAGCTGGAGAAATATCTGGAGAAATAGGCGAACGACATATCCTTGACCTGCCAAATCTGCTGAAGAATCCTGTCTCAAAGCCATGTCAGTTCGCCAAGGTTCCTTGAGCCCAGCGCACATCAATGACAGCCTGACACATCCGGACCCACTCGGTGCTAAGGCCCATCGATCAGGCCACTCCTAAGGCTCTGGCAATCCAGTGCCAGCACCAATGTCCAAGGCTCTAACACCCTCCTTGCGGCCCTGTCCAAGGCTCGGGCATCGGATGCGAATCCGTGGTGCAAATGCCCAACTGGCCCATGGACCCAATCCTTGCCATGCCCCAAGTGTTTGTCTATGTTTGTCTAATCACTTAGAGGATGACTGTTCATTGATACTTATTGTGCACAATGCTTGCAATCATTTGCAATCTGTTGTGAACGACTTCCACCTGCGATGACGGCAGAGGTTTCATCTCTTCTGGGGCAGTTCTATGGCAAACTCGACACTGTACAACGCCATGATCAAGCCACAAATGGCTCTTCTGTACATTGTAAGTGAAGTAGACAGAACCTCTCAATGCAGCACTACCAGACAATCAATAGGACGCTTTCTAAGATTTGAATGAGGTTTTCTGGCTGCGTGAGAAGTCCTCACAAACAAATGAGCTCTGCGTTGTCTTGGCGTTGCCATCTCCCCAGAAGCTTAGAGCTTGTCCAAGTAGTCACTCAAGAGAGGCATTTGGAGCTTTAAGTTCTTGCGCTTCCGGATGCTGAGCACCAACTCCTCCATCTTGCTGCCCTTCTCCAAGCAGTTGCCCGGAAGACTTTCCCAGTGATCGAAGACACACTGAGGGAACGCTTGACCACTGGTCGCCTGTCGCAGTGAAGAGACAAAACCAAAGGATTCTGACACCGGCAAGTGTGCTTTCACCTGTACCAACGGAGTGCCCTCGCGTTGATTCTCCTCAAAGACGCAGCCTCAGGGTTCCAAATTGAAAAAATATAAGCAAACGTGTGTTCAAACGAGTTTCGCTGAAGTTCATGATGACTTGGAAGGGTGCTGATGCACCTTATCTGTGAGTCGCTGTTGGAATTATCACCTGGACCTTGCGAGTTACTTTCTGTGTGTAGCCTTTGAAAACGCCATGATACGCCATGAATGAAGGTAGGCCGGCAATCCGGATCAGGCCCTTTCAAGGCTTTTCAACTAGAGTAACTAGAGATCACATCCTTTGCAAACTCTGTGAAAGAAGCTTCTTGGGAGCCAACAAGTCTCACCATTGACCCTGTTTCCGGCCTCGCCGGAGGTTCAGGCAGTTGTAGATCCCACTCAGCGACTCCTTGGGGCAGGAGATCTCGACCAAGAAGACCGGTTCCTGCAGAGTTGGCTTCGCTGTGAGCTCTGATGCGAAGCAGCACCGCCTCACGGCCGGCATGACTTGACCGCCTCCTCGATGTACCTTGTCTGGATGGAGGAGCACCTCCGTGAGGTTGAAACGAATGCCTCGCATGTTCTCTTCACACAATGGACCTTGCTTGGTGGCCCACTGGAAGGCACTTCCCACAGAATCCTTGATGTCTTGCAAGTACTGGGCACCGATGGTGGAATCCACCACCATATTGGGGCCCTCACATTCAGGACCGAAGCACCAAATCTTTTGGGCCGCCTGCTTGTCCCATCCAAACTTGCTGCTCAAAATCTTGGCAGCCTCCTTTGGATCTGCTGGTCCCACAGAACCCTCTTCAATGGCCTGTACCAACTCGGAATCCAAAGGCTCAGCAGTAAAGTAGAGGCGATTGTGCTTGTTAGCCGACTTTGCCAAGCAAGTCTGGCTGGATGTCTCAGTGACCGTCTCACGGTACGAAACGACTGGATCAGAGACAGTGAAGTCACATTGTGCAAACTCCTCCCTCAAATCTTTCAGGCAGATTTCCACATGCAGCTCGCCACAGCCAGCAATCACATGTTCTCCACTTTCTTCCACCGAGCAAACTACAAGTTGATCAGACTTAGACAACTTCTTCATTCCTTCCACCAACTTTGGCAAGTCCTTGCCATCCTTGGGCTTCACTGCGACCTTCACCACAGGAGACACACTGTACTTCATGTCGGTGAAGTTATGAGCATCCTCCAAGGTGGTGATCGTGCCAGACTTTAAGATATACTGGTCAACTCCGGCCAGAGCTACAGTATTGCCGCAGGGCACGTCCTGGTTCGCAGGAAAGCACAGTGGATATTGGTCTCTAGACTGGTGCAGCCCTTACATCAAAAATCAAGAAACCAAATGCAAATATGGTGCATTATGTTGCATTGCGCCTTTGCATCAAACCTCTGCATCAAACCTCCAAAACAAGGGAGCGCGGAAAGCTCATATTGCTGACTTGTCAGGATCAACAACACGTTCTTGGCCAGAACCTACTCTTTATATTAAAAGTAAACCAGCATAATTACGGTGGCCTTGACATCTTTACCAGGCATATCTGGTGGTCCAGGTCCAAGACAACAACAGAAAACACACCACAAAGGATCACAAAGGTACATCACAGTACATTACTGGTTTGCCCTTTGCGCCACTAGTAACAACATGCCGGGTCATCCAAAATCAAGGGATAGCGCGCACTCCCAGTAAGAATCGATCACGGAAGCGGAATAACTACAGTATGAATAACTACCTTCTGGATCTTTTGGCAAAGCTGCTTCCTTGGGTGCCCGTTGCATGTCCATGTCCTTCGTTTTGAGGGGAAGTATCCACTATGTCATCGCGCCGGCTCCGATCCTGGATGAGTTCACTGCCTCGGCCCATCATGATTACCGTGCGTTGAATCGCCTTGACGTGCAGGTCTTCTTTGGTTCCCGGCTTATAGTGTGGCCCTTGGATGCGAACCTTTTGTCCAGTGGCCACAGTGCCAGAGAAGACTCTGCCGAAGGCAAAGAAGCGACTCTTGTCTGCCGGCACCATTTTGGAGACGTACATCATCAAGGGGCCCTGTGGGTTGCAGTTGCGAATTCCCATGGCAGCGTCATCATCCATAGGACCGTCGTAGAGGTTCTCAACACGATAACGTTGCGCCACCTTGGGTGACGGTAGATTGACAATCATGGAGACCAAACTGTCACCAGCATTGATCCAGTTCTGCATGACGTGCTTCATGAGCTGCTTGCCAGTGAGCGTCTTCTCTTCCCCTTTCAAGACAATCCCAAGCCTCTCCATCATCTTCTCATAGCGTTCTGAGTCCTTGTCCACGATGGCACGAATCAGCTGGTTGATGGGGTTCATGATGTACTGGCAGAACCCTCTTTGCAAGGGTTCTTGACAATCCTCAGGATGCTGGACATTGGTCCAAAGCTTCTTCTTCGGATGATAGAACCAATCTCCCCACAACTTCTCCATCATACGTGACTTGTTGCCACCTGTCTTGGCTGATAACATCTTGGCAAAGTGTTCGACCCCAAATCCCCATCCATGAAGTCCGCTGCCAAAAGCCACGTTTCCAGCCTCAGGCCGCACCTGCAAGTCACCCATAGAGGCGTCATTGTAGGTGGCGATAATCACATTCACATTCTCAATGGCTGTACGGAAACGAAGATACATGTCTTCCGCATCCATTTGCATTTCGAGGATGCAACGATCAACCTTGTTCACGAAGAGGCAAGGCTTCACGCGCTCTTGTAGCGCTTGTCGCAGCACCGTTTCCGTCTGCACAGCACAACCTTCGATGCAATCCACCACCACAATCGCACCATCGGTAATTCGGAGTGCGGCAGTGACCTCAGAAGAGAAGTCGACGTGTCCTGGTGAATCTATGAGGTTCACAAGGTAAGGTTGTGAATGCCCATCTTCATCATGTTCAAAGCACAAGGTCACACCAGTACTCTTGATGGTGACTCCACGTTCCTGCTCATCCTTTCGTCCATGGGTGAAGCGCGCTTCTCCCGCCACTTTGGCTGAAATGATTCCAGCTCGAGAAATCAGCGAGTCGGCCAAGGTCGTCTTGCCGTGATCGACATGGGCAATGATACTCAAGGAGCGGATCTTCTCAGTCTGATCCATGAGGCTCCTCACCTGCTCCATGGTGAAGTGCGGCATGGTCTTCGACCCGCCCCCCGCTGCAACGCGGGCGCACGAAAAGCGTGGAACCGTGGGGGTAGCAAGCTCTGGCTCGATACTGAGAAGGAGCAAGGAAATCCCGCCCAGCGGCGCAAGTTTAAGAGAAGTCGTCGTGCCCAAATAAACTGTGGCGTTTCTTGGTGCCACAAAGAAACACTGCTGAATGAGGTGGCAAAGAAACCCTGCCTCCGGCCTCTGAGAGAGCTGCAACACCGCGGAGGCAATTGCACGTCCCTGGCAACAACAAGCTGATCTGTGAGCATTCGAATGAGAAGTCAAGCAAGGCTTCGAGTGGACTTTCTCCAAGGCTGTTGCATACTGCTCTCCACGCGGAACATCATTGATCATTTGGAAGTGCCATCCTTAGAATGGCCGACGCCTTCCTCAAACCTGTGAAGCCTCATGTGATCCGGAAGACAGAGTATAGAGACAATGAAATGAAGACTATCACCGAATCATGTCAACAAATCGTTTGTCTGGAAAAATGTGGTGATGACAAAAAACATGCAACCTCTCAGATCTCTCAGGAGTTGTCTTTTTTATGTTGTATGTTTTTAAAAAATAGAATATCATAGAACCTAGAGAGCATCACCTCACATGAGAAAAAGGGAACACTCTGTTTCGGAGCGCAGAGCTGCCGGGGAGACCCGGCTCTGCAGTGCCGCAGCACGCAGACCCTGCAGAGCTGCCTCTGCTCGATCACCTGATTGCCGCAAGGTGGAGCAGAAAATGACGAACCAAGTGTGTCCACACAGCCAAGCATGCTTTGCATGTGTGGTAGGTACAGTACAAAGGAATCTGCACAAAGGAAAAGAAACTGCGTATGAATTCACCAGTATTATTAAGACCCTTCGCCAACCATCCTTCTGACCGGGGGCAAAACTGCCAGCTTGATCTTTTTGGGCCATGGCCTTCGCGGGGCCATCGCGGGTCGGTCCCTGTGGCCCCTGGCCTGCGGGGGGCCGCCTCCTAAACCACCATGGTTCAGGGAAACCCTGAAACCATTCACTTCCGGACTCTCCAGGATACCATAGGTAACTAGAGGAACCACAGAAGCGGGGCACTAGTGGAAGTGGTGACCAAGACACTCGACGACATCACCGTTTTCTGGGCGAGGCGAGGCTCGAATGCATAGCGGTGGAAGGAACGACCAGATGCCGTCGGTCGCACTGTCTACACCATTTAGTACGAAAGAAACGCGAACCTGGCAGTGAAAAAAACTCTGAAAAGCATCCGTGTTGAATCATGTTGATTCATTTTAAATACATAGAATTACATAGAGAAGTACCTCGAAATAGAACCCAAGAGAGTACTGAATGTAAAAGCTCCTCTAATCTCTTGCTTGGAATTTCGGAGATCGCTTTCCCCAGCCCGGCCCGGCCTGCGCACGGCGCAGCGTGCGAAAGGCCGCCAGGAAGCGGCCCTCATCTGCTTCAGCCTGAGATTTCTCCATCGCACCATGTGTCAAACCAAGGCTTCAAGAATCACCTCAACAGAAAGGGCAACAAATACAGCTGCTTTTCCCTGCTTGCTCCATGTTGTTCCTTATCGCCAACGTTTGGGAATGATCAGGTTCTGATCAGGTCATGGCGGGGTTTATGATGTTATATGTTGTTATACATTATTTGACGACATTATGGGTTCTTCGAAAGGATGGGGAACTAGACAGGGAAGCAACACTCAACCATTGTTTTAAGGATGTTCAAGGCGTCTTTCTAGAGCCTATCAGTCATCGTGGAGCAATGCCGCACAACGCACCATGCCTCGCCAAGAAGACATAGCAAAGAAACCAGTGATGCTGGCAATGACCTTCAGTCCAAGTCCCAGCATTAAATGCACTCACTCCCAAGAATTGAAGCTGAAACATTTTTTGTTGTGGCACTTCACAGATGTTCTAGGCCCATAAACAGGAACGTCTTTTCATGTCTACATTCTTTCCCACCAAGTTGCTTTTGAAGCCGTTGGATTTCATCAGTCTTTCGGAGGATTACGTGAGACACCGCCCGTGCCACCCGGATCACCGGGGGCAATCCGTCTGACGGCCCTCGTGCTGTCCGCGTTCCGAGTCATGGCGTCTGGGAGTCCAAGTCCCGAACCCCTTGTCTTCACCCTGCAGAACGAGATAGGGAGATAGGCCTTAGGCCTTCCTCAAGACTTGTGATCATCGACCGACTGTTACTGGTAATGGGACACGCCCTAGAAACATCAGAACACTTCAACTTCGCAGAATGTTAATCCAATCGAATGTCAACCCTGTGGCCGCCGGACTCGCAACCCCTTGCCCTTCGAGCCCTTACTATGGCTCTGGGGATGCTGCTTTTGACCTATGCCGCCTGTGCCCTTATCGTTCAAGCATACCCCCGGCATACCAGCATGAAGAGAATATTCTGGAACCCATGTGAACCATGGATGCGCCTGAAGGAAAATGTGTGAACCTCCAACAGCCCAGCCACCAGGGTCACCGACCAATCCCCTTTTCGGTTTAAGACACCTCTTGGCTGATCGGTGAGCAGATTTCAGATGGCCTGGCAAACCACTGGTGCCAAACTGGACAGGAGTAGACGCCTGGCGGGCGAATTTGATGGCACCTGGAGCGCCGAGACAACGAGTTCTCAGGTCTTCAGGCATTACTCAAAAACATTCACAACATGAGAAACGAACGAACGACAACCTGTGCTATATCCTTTGTAACCTCCCTTATATCCTTGTGGTCATCCTTATCGTGGACATCCGTGTTCGTTTTCCTGAAAAGCCCTTGATTTGGAACGGCTCCATCTCGATTATCGTCATGAGTCAACTTCTTTTTGCGGCAGCGATCTCGGTCATCCCCACTGAACCGCCTCGTTCGTGCAGAGAGGTCTTCTCGTCCGGGAACCTTGCTTTTGTGCGCTCTTAACAGAGAGGGAACATGACTCACCTGGAAGAAGGGCAGAAGTGGTTGGCTTCATCCATCATGCAAAGTGGCTGGCGATAAAATAATTGAGCCAATTTTAATGATCAAGAAGGTGAACGTCCCCTGAAACAACAGAAGCAACAACACTGTGAATAGAACACACGAATCAAGAAGCCTTGTTCCATCTTGTTCCAAAAAGATGTTGAAAGTGTGCCAGGCTGTAACACATCAAATCCCAAACCACACGGACTTCGACATTGTGGCGCAGCTCTCAATCAGACAAATCCGTTGGGTCCGCTCTCGATCTGATAGGAAGAGATGGCGAAACTAAGGCGGTGGATGCGAAAGGCGGAGGATGCAGGCCCTGTAGGCCGTAAAGATCCAAGGCTCCCACAAATGCAGGGCCCCCACTTCGGCTCCTCCAAAGAAAACACAATCCCCACCCTGAGCACCGTTGTTTGATGTTGTTTGCCTGGAACTTCCAGTTCAAACGATCAAAAACAGTGATTGTATCACATCTGTGAAAATGCAATGCTCTGGAAGGAAAGGGGCCATGAATGGTCCAGGGAGACAGCGGTGCAATACACCTGTCCTGTCAGTCGAAACCTACTGACAGAGCTTCAGTGAGAGATCTACTGAACAAACAAATAACTGGAAGACAGCTCCCAACTGGCAGTTCGTCAGTTGGGCTCCAGTCGTATGGTCAAGGAGACAAGGGTGCACCATGCTCCATCCCCCCTGCAGACTGTCCATGGTTCACTTTTCGCTTGGTTCACTGCTTAGCTTGAGTTGTATCGAAGGGGCAAAGCAAAAGGAAAACCCTAAAACCAAAGCAAACGTGCTGGCTCGTTTGCCGATCTCTGGGGCCCAACAAACACCTAACCCGGCGGTGCAAAACATCGAACCGGACCGTGTTCTTTTAACCAAGTGTGACCCCTCCTTCACCCCTTTGGCATGTCAGGTTTTGAGCCATCCCATGATTCATCTTGTTGTGACCGTTTTTTTTCCGTCGCGGACGGTTCCAAGGCACAACGCGCCTGGCACACCCAGAGGCATCTCCGCTGGGCGCCACATTGCCAAAGGCCACCAAGGTGTCCTGCGGCGGTGCCCGATACTCGACCCACCGAGCTTCGTCTGACAGCCTTCGGTCAATGCTACACGAGTCTTCCAGACCCCCAGAATAGGTGACCCAGTTGCCTAATGGGTAAGGCGTCGCCTTTGCAAGCTGTCTGCTCTTGCGGGGGCCACACTGCTTGACAAGCACGAAGTTGGAGGTTCAACTCCTCCCTGGGTCGTTTGCTTCCCCAGTCATATCACATGACAAGCTATAGAATAGTGTCGTTCTTGACGTGCAATGATGTGCTGTGAGCGTAGTTGTTGCAATGCAAGTGTGTTTTGGTGTTCTACCAAGCGATGTAAACTCGTTCACGCCAGGATTCACACGTCGTTGGTCCCGTCTCGGGCTCCATCGAGTCTCATCGAGTCCCGGCGGACAGCCGACCGAGTGGTCCAAAAAGAAATAGACGTCTGAAAGCTGCCCGTCTAGCGGGCCAGCCAAAGATGAGCAAAAGATAACCAAAGAGACACATCTAGACATTCATCCTTCATCTTCATCCTTCTATCTCCTTCCCCTCTCCTCTGCTAATTCTTCCCAGAGATCTGGAACACGCAGCAGAATTGACGTCAGCAAGGCTGCAGCCTCCGGGTCGGATCGGGGGCTCATGGTGGCCGTACCCACAATTGGATTCGGATACAATTGAATCATATATGATCATATTGGAATATATTGGATCTATTGAGTTGAGGTTGGACCCAAAAGCCTCTCATGTCCACCAGCCCAGCAATCTTGGTGACAAAGCAGCTGCAGCCTCTGGTACTCCTTGAGGCGGCGGCCTGCAAGAAGTTGGCAAAGCAAGTCTCAATCGGTTCTTTTTTGAACCAGTTGGTTGGCTATGCTTCCAACTGGGTCGTGTCATTATCTCAAAATCATTGAAAGTCTTCTGATTGGTCCTTTCCCTACCAAACAATGGAAGTTTTGGTGACTTCGCCGGTGTCCAGACTGAAATCCAACCAGCACCGATCGATCTCCTCACGTGCCTGCTGCCCAGAAGCGCTCGAGCATGCGCCACGGCCTCTACGACTCTACGAGCCAAAGAGACAAGGAAAAACAGGGCTGGCTGGCACCCTTCAGATAACAAGATAACAAGATGTGTCAAAACGCAGCGGAAACGCACCAAACCATGGCCACCCAGTGATGGAAGTGAGTTTTGACACCAACCCAGCTCTTCTTCAGCAAATGACCTTTTGACCCAAATTAAACATGTCCTGATGTTGTGGTTGGTTCCTCCATATGTTCAATGGACTGCGTCCATTGTCCAACTCACCATGTCCGCTGTCGAGTCAAGCTCTGGTGTCCTCGAAGCTGCGATCTTAACAGACGCTCTTACGGCAGAGCATCTTCTGTCTTGCGCTTTCACTTCGTACTCGGCATCACAGCGAAGCCGCCCACCCCCTGCCTCTGTGACCCAACTGCTAGTGGACGGGTCCACCTCCTCCTTGGCCAAAATAAATCACAAGCTGCTGCGCGTGGCTTCACGGCCAAACTGTTTGATGGAACATGCAACCTTCTTCGGTCTGCCACAACCCCAGAACAGGAAAAGACATGATGAAAAATCCATTGGTACCCATGGACATTCACCAATCATTGATGATGATGATGATGATGATGATGAAAATGATCGCGCTAGTGTGTTTTCATGTGATGTTCAGTCCTAGTCCCAGTCCCACCATCTCCCCCCTCCACGGTGCCCACCCTCGCAAGGGGGGAAAACGGGAAAACCTCCAAAGGACCCCACGACCGGCTCCTGCTCTTGTGCTTTGTTGCTTCCCAATCTGGTCACAAGTGCTGGACATACTACATGCATCTACATGCGCATGAGCGACGGCACCTACATGCTTCACTCAGACTCTGGTCCGGTCATGGTGAGTAAGCACAGTTGCAGAACTAACAAGAGGAGAAAGTAAGAATAAACATACTGTAAACAAGAAGTGGAAGAATAGAAAAAAGCAAAAGCCTTCGGGCCCCCCAAAGCCCACCTGGCAACGCGTCGCCGTTTCAATTGCATCAAGCCCTTGGTCATCGTACATGTTGGGCCCAATCTTATTCTATATACAGTACTAAGTGTGACCCTAGAACCCAACAAAAGGTATCAAGCTCAATACTTATAGTATTGTTTGGCCAACCTTCCTTCTCCCCTGTCTGTAGCCTGCATAGCACTGGCTGAAAGAGTTGCACAAACATTCATGAATGTTCCTGCGTTCTTAGATGCAACTTCATCAAGCTGAAAAAAACTGGAAGTCAGGAATGCGGCCAGGGGCAGTCGGGATTGAAAAAGCATGGCAAGCGTATGTATCGGGTTGATCATCGGCAAAAAGACACTCTAGACACTGGGTATCAAGTCTACTGCATGTTGTCTCACTCCTCCGCACACCACA